CTGTCAAGTTTTTGATTCACATGGTTCATGTAACTGTTGGGTCATTGAAGGATGTCATTGGGTGACCACATGGGCTGTCTATATATATTGACAACGCACTGCAGTCATATCTCCCTCATCATCTGATATCTTAATTTAGATTAATTCTTGCCCCGTTGGAAAGATCTCAAGAAGTACTGTGATGTGGAAAGCACAAATATTAGGCCCCGTTTAATTCTTATAAAGAAAGAATTGACCATTAATATCTTTTTTTTTTGTTATCTTTTAGGCCCCGTTTGTTTTTCAATAAGTCACTTACTCATGTAAATGCAGTTACCTGGATAAGTTTTTTCTGAGAAACACTTACCCGAGTAAGTGCATTTACCTAGGGGTGAGCATTCGGTTTATTTGGTTCGGTTTTTGTCCTTAATTTAGAAATCGAACCGAAACCGAAATTTAAAAAAAACAGAAATAACCGAAACTGAAAATTTTGGTTATTTCGGTTAAAACCGAATTTTAATAATATATACTTTATTATATATTATAATATATAATATATATATATATATATTATGTATTATAAAATATATATTATGAAATCTAATTTCAGTATATTATATATTAATATATAAATATATTATATATAATAATAAAAAGTTTAGTTAATTCGGTTAACCGAAATTCTAATTCTAAAAACCGAATTAACTGAACCGATTTAACCAAAAACCAAAACCAGAGTTTTTGGTTCGATTATTCGGTTTTAACTGAATTATGCTCACCCCTACATTTACCCATGTTCTTTTATTTCTCATGTAAATAAGGTAATGACCATTTTAACCATAAAAATCCATTATTAAAAGGGGCATTTTTGTCCCATTCAAGTTTTAGCAACTTCCCCCTAGGTGGAAAGTTATTTACCCACCTAGGAGATGAATATCACTTACCCAAGTAAGTGAAAAATAAACTCCCTGATCCTCACACAAATCTGAAAAAAAGAACACAACATTCTTGGTCAATGAGAACTAAAATCCCATTAACTAACTTTCCCCCTCTCAAAATCCAAAAAAAAAAAAAAAATGCCCCCTTAAAGTATTCCCAAGAGAAAACTTGATATAACTCATTAATTGTAACATAGAACATGACTACGTTCATATTATATACATATGGTTAAGCTATACCAAGTAGGAAAGAATAGTTTTAACTCAATTCTTGCAATATTATATGCAATCGAACAGTAATTTGTCTCATGAGAAGCCTTCCCCAGCAAAATTGCAACTAATTTTTTTTTTTTTTATATATATATGCGTGACCGTACCCACACGAATGCATGCCTGGTTCTTGACTCGTTGTATCTGTAAAAGTGTGTATTTTGGCTTCTTTTTCTTTTTTAGTAGGGATAGTTGTTACTCGATTATTTATTTGGTTGCTTCTCAACTTTTTCTATTCGCTTTCTTTCTTTGGGCTAAATCTTGACTATATAAACTGCTTACATGCCCCTGTAATTGTTTATTAATTGTTAATACATTGAATTAGATTTAGCTTAATATTTAGGGTGATGACTCTAAACTTAGCAATTCAGAGTAGAGTAAAGCAAAGAATGAGACAGCAGCCTCATATGCATATAAAAAGTATGAACAATTAATATTCTAGCTAAAAATTTGGACTAAGGTACATTTTTAGATTATTAATTTAACGAGGGACAAATATAAATATTGTTTGCTTTGTATCTAATTATATATCTTAGTTCGAAAGTGGAATATGTCAATTAGTTGTTTTCCGATTTCTCAAGGACAAATTTGTCAGAAATAACACATTAAATACCATTTTATTTATTAGTGTAATAATTGATTTTCCTCATAATTTTGTCTTATAGTTTCTCCCTCAAAGTATGGTAAATTAAAAACTACATTATTTGCAATCATGGTTTAAAGTATCGATATGTATTAGTTTTTGAACCCTCAAAGTTAGGAGATTTGGGCATTGTCAAGGGTAATATATCCTTCTTAGAGATGTTCTGGGCCATCTGGCTCAATTTCTGAAACTAAAAAAAAATAGTATTACTCCTTCGAATTGCTCCTTGAACCTTGTTTGCAGTATCTTCCCGTTGTTTAGATTTTGAAACTTCACTTTTTTTATTTATTTAAAAAAAAGTTGAAAAGGACTGTAGGCCTTGCATGCAGATGGAGCAATTATATTGTATAGAAATATGTTTTGCAGGCACCTCAGGCTGTCAATATTGCACTCATAGCTTTATACTATTGCACCCCTGGAGCAGGGTGCAACACTCTGAAGTCTGAAATCCCGCAAGTGAAACAGTCACAGCTCACAGTCTATGGTGGGAAAAGCAGAAAATTATTTTCTTTAAATTATCACCATATTGGATAATTTGATTGAGAAGCTCGCATTGTAGAAAGTAAAAATTGGGTTGGAAAATGGCAAGGGAAACTGGAGGAGTCGAGTAGGTAGCACCAACCACTCCTCTGATGGGCATTTCGTGGATGAACATGTGAAAATGACAATGTAACAGGAACACTTTGGTCAATAATGGTGTCTGTTGTATTGTCCTTTTTCAAGGTTGATGCCCTGCCTGCTCTACTAACACTCCCCAATTGGAACTAATCAAACAAAGTTGATGAGGAAATCAGTGCGGAACTCGAATATCAAATTAAACTAATCACAACCATGAGAGAGAGAGAGAGCTCTTACATTCTGCTATTCTAGAGAAGAGGGCCAGTGATTCACTGTGTGCAATTAAGCTTAAACTTAATTAATTAGTGTTGTTTTAATCGAGCCCTGACATACTAACAGTCTGAAAATATATATCACCACCGCTAAACATTCTAGGCTCCACCTCACTTACCATGAATCAGATGTCTGTAGACACACTAGACAAGTATATCAGACTTGATCAGATGGTTAGGATCAGGGAAGGTAGAGAAATCTGAGTAGTAGGACCCACCCACTTGCTCATAGTGTGATACATGATGAAGCCCACAAATATAAGGCCCAATCTTGTCGTCCACCCATCCTGATTAAAAAAGAAAAAAAAAAAAAAAAAACAAAGAAGAAGAAAAGAGGGAAGGGAGAACAACACTTACTGAACTTGGTCTTCCTCTCTATAAATCGGCAGTACACTATACAACTGCACGCGTAAGGAATATGGATTATTCCCACAAAGAGAATCTAAATATGAAATGATGATCCTAAGCCAAAAGTGTGAATTTCCAGACTCTCAAACTAAAAATCTTCTCATAATTAAGGAATTCAGCCAACGAAAGAGACATATCCTTTGCTTTGATTTTTTTTCTTTCCTTTTTATTGGTCGCTCCCAATTTCCATGTTCCACCCATCTTTTTTTTTTAATTATAAAAAAAAGGGAGGAATTTCACTATGGGCGGCCAATCGGGTCGGGTTAAAATAACTGTTCCAGGGAGCAGGGGACCTCTTGGGTTTGGACTCTGGAGTCACAGTTGCTTAACTTAGGGCTGTTCATAACAAGATCCAAACCGACCAAACCGATTAACCCGGTCTGATCCAATCTGAGTTGGCTAGTTTTTTTTAGTATCGGTCGGTTTTGGGTTACAAAAAATATAAACCGATGGTTCGATTCGGTTTCAGTTTTCATGTGTGAGCCAAAACCGAACCGACCCGAACTGAACCGACTTAGATATATATTTATATAATATATTTCAGATATTATATATATATATATCTGATATATTTCAGTTTTAATATATATTTCATATATATATTTGTGGATATATATATATATATATTATATTTCAGCTTTATTTCAGAAATATACATATTATATATAAAATTTCTGATATATAAAATATTAGTTTTAATCCATCAAATCATTTTTTATTTTCAGGCATCCAACCTTTGCTTTCTTAGACTTGAATCCTTTACCATTCACACCGAGAGAATCATTCACAAAATCGACCCAACCCGATTCAAACTAACCAGGTCGATTTTACTTAGTACTAGGTTGATTTCGGTTTCATTTCTAGGTAAACTGACCAGGTCGACCTGTGAACAGCCCTAACTTAACTGTGGATTGCCATGTTATCTTGTATATTGGTTGGTTGGTTGGATTAGGATTAAATATATCTAAGGGAGTTGAATAACGGCTGAAGTGGTTGGGCTGAATGGCTTATTGTGTTAAATGGAAAAATATGTAAGGGTTTAACAATTAAGTCAACATTAATTCTCTTAAGCAGCTTAGAACCTACTTAATGAGTTGGTGTCTTATCAACTGAAAGTAAGAAGTCATTCAGTTTATTAGCCACTTCAACTGTTATGAAACAAAGGAGAGCGATTCTTTTTCATGGTAGATAAGAATGCCACTTGGATACATGATGACATGGCTTTAATATCTATCATGGAAGGAGCTTACGACCATTCCCTCTTTTTAAAAAAAGAAAAGAAAAAAAAAGAAAATTAAGCATGCCTTGATGACATAGATATATATGAGATAATACTTTTAGCCATTAGATTCATGTATTTACTGCTTGCTCTAAAGTCTAAATGGAATTATTCTCCACCATCCAAGTGTATAGAGAAAATTAAATATATGATTGGAATGATATTTGAATAAAAATCCTGCAGATTTTGGTTCACAATATCTGCATCATAGGAGCCATTAATGGTGGGTCTTGATCGATCGATCCTCCAAACATGGGACAATTAACAAGATTTGGAACTCCAAATTGCTTTATGAGTCTTGGGCTCTTAAACCCCAAAATTTTTTCCTTCGCTAGCGAGTATAACGCAACAACTGAAGGCAGAAAAGCTTAGAAATCGGGTGAATGGTGCTAAATAGCCCGAATCCAAAGAGCAGTGGCCTCTGCGGGTAGACATATATGTCGGGTCAAGAATTGCCACCCCAGAAATCAATCAGAGGAAAAAAATAATAAAAGAAAAAGCAATCTTACCAAAATAAAGGAAAAAAGTGGTCTTAGAAAGCTTAAAAGCTCCTTAACAAGGACCTCACATACACCAAATAGAGAGAGAGAGAGAAACTCTTCTTCAGAAGAGCATTAAAGTAAAAGAAAAAGGAGATAGACATAGACAATAGAGATCTCTGGTTTGGAGACTGACGAGCTTATGTGCAACTCTCAAAGCTAGCTAGCTTGAGTTGTATAGACTATAGGCAATAGAGAGTGAGGGAGCGAGCTCAGAGATGAGTCAGTTTGCTACACAAAAATAACGAAAACACATGCTCCTCGATCGATGCCATAAACACTTCTCCTTTCTCTCCATATCTCCAATTTTTTTCGTCCTCCCCTTTCCTCGTTATCTCCTCCTCCACCTCACTTTCTAGTTGGTTAGTTAGGTTCGTTAAAGAGTAAGTTAAAGACTTGAGCTCTAGCCAAGATGATTAATTTATCAGATTTCTACCATGTCATGACTGCTATGGTTCCACTCTACGTGGCCATGATCTTAGCCTATGGCTCCGTCAAATGGTGGAAAATCTTCTCCCCCGACCAATGTTCCGGCATCAACCGCTTCGTCGCCCTCTTCGCCGTCCCACTTCTCTCCTTCCACTTCATCTCCACCAACGATCCTTACGCCATGAACTTCCGCTTCATCGCAGCTGATACGCTTCAGAAGCTCATCGTCCTAGGCATCTTGGCCGTGTGGACCAACTTCAGCAAGCGGGGTTGCTTGGAATGGACCATCACGCTCTTCTCTCTGTCCTCTCTCCCAAACACCCTCGTCATGGGTATTCCTTTGCTTAAAGGGATGTATGGAGAGTTCTCGGGGAGTTTGATGGTTCAAATCGTTGTGCTTCAATGCATTATCTGGTACACTTTAATGCTGTTCATGTTTGAGTACAGAGGGGCTAAGATGTTGATCAGCGAGCAGTTCCCAGATACCGCTGGTTCTATTGTGTCCATCGCTGTTGATTCCGATGTGATGTCGTTGGATGGCCGGGAACCCCTGGAGACCCAGGCGGAGATTAAGGAGGACGGGAAGCTTCATGTTACTGTAAGGAAGTCCAATGCTTCCAGGTCGGAGATTTTCTCCAGACGATCTCAAGGGTTGTCGTCGACGACGCCCAGGCCTTCTAATTTAACAAATGCGGAGATATACTCTCTGCAGTCATCCAGGAATCCAACCCCAAGAGGCTCTAGTTTCAATCATACGGATTTCTATTCAATGGTCGCCGGTGGCCGGAACTCCAATTTCGGAGCTTCGGATGCTTATGGGCTTGGGGCGTCGAGGGGTCCGACGCCGAGGCCGTCTAATTACGAAGAAGATAACAAGGCCAGGTTCCATTACCATGCATCAGGTGGGACACATTACCCGGCTCCGAATCCGGGGATGTTCTCTCCTACTTCGAAACCGGTCCCCAACACTACTACTACTACTACTACAGCCACTGCTACTGCTGCTAAAAGGACTAATGGCCAAGTGCAGCAGAAAACGGAAGATGGGACAAGAGATCTTCATATGTTCGTTTGGAGCTCAAGTGCTTCTCCAGTCTCAGATGTCTTCGGGGGCCAAGAATATGGTGTTGCAGACCAGACTGTAAAAGAAGTTAGAATGGCTGTTTCTCCTGGAAAAGGTGCTCAACTTTGCCTTTTCTTTCCTATGTAGTTAATGGGTTCTGTTTATATTTAATATTTTATTTTTCATTTTTAACTTCTATTTTTGATGATTCTAATTATTCAGTGGAGGGTCGCAGAGAGAACCAAGAGGAGTACTTGGAGAGAGATGATTTCAGCTTTGGAAACAGAGGGGTAGCAGATACAGAGATGAACGATGAAGGCCACAAAATGGGTACCACGAAAGCCAAAAGCTTGCCTCCTGCAAGTGTCATGACCAGGCTTATTCTCATCATGGTTTGGAGGAAACTCATCCGAAACCCAAATACATACTCCAGCTTAATCGGCCTCACTTGGTCTCTTATTTCATTCAGGTATACAAATTAATCAAGGTTTTTGATGATTTGTGGGCTAATCAGCAAATGAAATTCGTTTTTATGCTGTTGGGTTGTTGCAGGTGGCACGTTGAGATGCCTGCTATAATAGCAAAGTCCATCTCCATACTGTCAGATGCAGGCCTTGGCATGGCCATGTTCAGTCTTGGTCAGTACTTCCATGGTTCCTTTCAAACAACACTCACGGCCCAAGAAATTCTCTCTCTGAATCTCTCCTTTTTGTGCTTTGTTTACTCTTTTATAAATCTCTTTATTTTACAATATCATGTATAAATAAAGGAAAGTTCAAAAACTCTCTCTCTCTCACACACACAACACATAAGTGGTCCTCATGATAACTGTCTCATGTTGATGATGAAAGGTCTCCTTATAATAGTACTGTGTTGAATGTTGCTCGACTGTGGTTGATGGGTATGTCATTTTTTGCAGGTCTGTTCATGGCTTTGCAGCCGAGGATCATAGCATGTGGGAATTCTATAGCAGCTTTTGCCATGGCTGTGAGATTCCTTACAGGTCCAGCTGTCATGGCAGCAGCTTCCATTGCTGTTGGGCTGAGGGGCGTTCTCTTACACGTCGCCATTGTACAGGTAACTTACTTCTCTTCCCCCAGTTCTGCCTCCTCTTCGTCTGACACTTCGAATCTAACTTCAAAATCGAAATAAAAGAAACCCAAAAGGGAAAAAATAATTCTCTCTCTCTCTACAGACATACACACACACAAGAATCTGTACATGTTTTAACGTATCTGGTGTTTGGATGTCAAAAAAACAATAAAAAAACAGGCTGCACTTCCCCAAGGAATTGTCCCGTTTGTCTTCGCCAAGGAATACAACGTACATCCTGATATTCTCAGCACTGCGTAAGTATTCTATCAAATTGATTAAATTTCTTCTCTTGCAGTTCCTCTGTTTCGTTTCCATGGTGTTTCAAGCTTTCAACTAATCTCAAGATGTCATTGGGATTGCAGTGTTATTTTTGGGATGCTGATTGCATTACCTATCACGTTGGTTTACTACATCCTATTGGGTCTGTGACTGTGAATAAATAAATTCATCAAGTCGTCGCCAACCAAGTGAATTACGCCACCGGGAATGAGGAATGCAGATAGAAGAGATCGAGCGGCGAGGGTCTGAGATATATATGGATCTTATGGGTGGCCGGGGAGGGGGACATCTATGGATCATGTTTGGATGAATTAATTCTCTTTTTTATTAAATTTGTAAAATCATATCTGTAGTCAAGTTAAATCTTGTTGGGTTCATTACTATCATAACCTTTCACTTCTCATCCAAGAACTAGTTGATACAAGCTAGCAGTGATTGATACAAGGTAGAAAAAAGAGTGCCAATGAGAGAGAGAGAGAGAGAGAGAGAGGGAGGGAAAGGCAGTGATTGATGATGAGCTATATCTGAATTTTACATTAAAAAAGAGAGTGTGTTGGTCAAGAGAGGATGATGGGTTTCTTGTTTTGATAATATTTGATTCAACTTTGTTTCCTTTGTATTACTTTAGAGGGAAATTTCATTAATGCTATCTTGTCCGGTTCCTTAAAGCAAAATGGTAACGTTAGCTGATAAATATGGAGGGACCTTCATGTGGTGAGACTTGAGAGCTTTAGAATGTAGGTGGTGAGGTGGGGGCCCCTCCATTAGAAGGAAGCAATTAAGGAGCCCTTTGAATTTGATGCCGACTCCTCTCTCTCTCTCTCTCTCACGTATTAGCTAGGCGACAGCCCTTCTCTCTGGTCGCTCTCTGATTTAGAATTTTCTCTTACAGGCACCCCCATGTCCATGGATCTTCTTCTTTTAATTTACTATATAAGCTGCACTTATATTGTGCTATGAATCAGCCCTTACAATTAATTAATCTGCACAAAAGCTGTCTATGGTTATTGAAGTAATTTAATTGATGAGATAGTGAGATACATAGCCATCAGCCATGAATAAGTTAACTTCATCAATATTACTTGGCTCAGTTCAGTGTATGAGATCTTGAGGCAAGTAGTAGTTACCTTAATTAGTGGCTCAGCCGAGTCAGTCAAGTTGACTTGCGAGTAGAAAATAGTACTTAATTAAATAAAAAAAGATAATTAAGTAAAATAAAAGGAATTAAATACCAGACAAAAATCAGAGTACAAGAATGGAAATAGTACTTATATACAAAATTTAATTAGAAGAAAGAGTCAACTCAGGTGAGTTACTTGAGTCTTGAACACACTGGAACTAGATCAGAGCAATAGGCCGGACAAGTTTGAATGACAAAGTTTGTTGCCATGTGGCAAACTCCGGGACAAACTAAGAAGCATGGTAAGTTTCCTAGCGCCTTGCTTGTCTCCTTGCATGTATCGACATTCTTTCCACCTTCTGGAATATATACTTTTGGTCTATCATCTTATAACAGTTATCTGTTTCCAGTGACTAATATCAATCTTTCGCACTAAAACCGCATTATTTTAATTTGCATCTCTATTCCAGCATTATAAGAGAGCTTATTGCATTAATTCAGCTACACTATAGAATGGGTTTTAATTCCAAGGAAGGCGCGTAGATGTGCAACTCAGTACCCAACACTGAGCAGATCGAGAGGCACCAACAGAAAATATAATAGCTAGAAATCCTTGCACACAAATCTGGGTTCATTGTTCTCCTTTGGCTGAAGCAATATAATGCTTTCTGATTGTCCTAAGTCCTAACCATGCATCTTAACATGAACTTGGATGGTTGATGGACTCATTGGGATATGATCCATCACCGGTTAGCTTCTGTCCCATCATTTACTACAACAAGAAGGACCAAAAAGGAACATAAAAAAGGTGACTCAGAGATAAGAGAAAGAGAATTATGATGGCCATTGCAGCTGCAGACAAGAGAATACTCCCAATACACAATTCCCAAATATATTATGACATCATTGAAAAGGATTTGTACTCCCTACTCAGAGCTGACTTACGACACCAAGAATAATACAAAGATTTGAGCAAATTGCATATCATCAACGCCTGTCATAGAATGGCTGTAGTAGTGGGCCTAATCTCCATTATCATATAGTAGGTGATGAGCATAGCATATATATCAAGTACATATATAGAACCGTGCCTCTGTTTCTTCCCCATTTCATTACTCTCTGGGTCTATCGATCACTTGGTTTAATTTGATGATGAGTTACAACTCATACATACATGCTTTTGGCTTGTAATGCAGAGTAATTATCTGAGAAGTTATTCTTTATGATAGCACCAAAGCCATTAATGTTGTCAACCTCAATCACACCCATAATGGCTTCGGCATCGGCACTTTAATCAGTGTTGGATGCATGTGTTTACCATGGATATATACCCCCTGGCCTTACAAGTTGATAGCCAGAATTGAACCTAAACCTAGCTTTCATGTCAATTGCATAGAACTAATTAATTAAAGCCTTGGCCCATGGGAATATAATATTTGAACGAACGATATTGATCGATGCATAAAAAAAAAATTGGATGGATGTCCGGCCTCCTGCTAGCTAGTCCTAGAGCACTTGACAGTGGTATATATGAGCAGCAGTGGGTGATTGTGATATCAAGTTAATTTCCATTTTGTGATAAAATTCAAGGTATATATAATTTATGCACATTGAAAATATAGCCCTTTACAATCACAATTCACAAAAAGCTTCTGAATATGGCCACGAGCTAGCTTTGTGTTTCCCCGTCCCCATGGAATTCATTAGTCTATTTATTATTAAACACTGTAACAACAATAAAGATGGCATGTGATATGTTGCTTTATAACAGCTGCAGGTTTGTTTATTTGAACTATGGTCTCATTTCTTTTGTGGCCGGTAACATGTTCGGATTCCTGGGGAAACCTTAGAATTACAGTATTCGTTTGGACAATTAATTAGTTATCTAGGTAACCAATTCTTTCTGAAAAAAATATTTTCTATGGACCCACTGACCTATAGCGGCAGCTGAACATAGGGTTCTTGCAATCCGTGGAACCCACTGACTTACTTGCTCATCTTTACAGGAAAAGGAACGAGGCCTCTATGTTACAGCAATTTCCATAGACTGCACCATAGATTTTGCCTTTTTTTTTATAAAAAAATTAATGGTCATTTATCAAAATATGTATGTTACAAATATATATATATATATATACAAAGCTCAGATCTTTTTAATACGAAACTTCTTTTCTTTTACTTTAAGCACATCTAAAATCTAAATACAAAACTGCTTTCATTATTAAATTAACAAACTTTTAATGATTTTTCATATTTCCTATCAGCATCAACTGAAACTTATGCTCATTAAGGAGGTATGTAGGTAGAATGTGGGTTTTATGTATGCCTGTCTTTGATGGATTACAACAATATTAATGGAATATATTTCTTAGCATATAATTTATATATATATATATATGTATAATTATGTTGTAGTTTAGGTGATCTGAGCACAACTCACACAATCAATATGAATAAAGAAAAGAATATATAGAAAATTAGAAAGCCACGTCAAACAGATTATATTTATATAGTTTAGCAAACTTGCCTATATATCCACAGGAGAATTATATTAAATTTTTCTCGATCACTAGACAAAGAATAGGTACAAGAAATAAAATAGATTCTCTTTCGCAGAAGTATATTACAGGAAGGCTGTTCAACACACATAGGTTGAAAATTGAAAGATGGTTCAGGTTTAAATCTATTAGGAGCTGACTATGGTCCAAATTGATGGCTAGAAGAAGGTGGAACGTAGTTTTTTTTGTGAACATTTTATTTCAAGCTATATTGGCAAACACCTTGTCACGTCTCTACCTCACAGTCACAATCCACTTTGTTTATTCGACCAGATGGAATGATGGAATGGGAGCCCACATAGCCAAGGTCCATAAGCCCAAATGCATGTATCAAAGTCTTTAAGGGTAATGGGATCTTTGTATTCCTTGCTTCTATAAAAATTTTGTAATTCTCCACTAAAGCTTGATCCAACAAATCTCATATTAAAGAATGTACAAGGATGTATTCTGAAGATAGGGATTCTTTTCTCTTTAAGGAACCTTATCTTTTCTATAAAAGGGGCATATACACCTTCCTTTACAATAAATGAAAGTCCATAATTTGACTTTGTTGTGGTTTGAAAGGTAAATCTGTTAACCTGATCATGGTTAGTGTGTCCCTTTTCTCTTGGTTATAAGTGAAACTCCAATTAGAAAACTAAAACCCTATAGTGAAAGTCTCTTAGTTATCATTTTTATGGTCTCTCTTTCTCTCTCTCTCTCTTCTTTGTGCCCCACCATTACAGCTTCATCAAGCTCTTGCAAATTCTTCAAGTTGAAGTTCATGCATGCTTTCATAAAATCTGATTCAATTGGGAATATATATATATATATATATTCAATTGTCAGTTATCAGTAAGGCCACATGAAAGGCTATAGCCTAAACCCTAATTTCTCTAGCTAGAAAATTAATCAAACTGTTAAAGTGTTGTGCTAGTGGCTTATCTACCAAACTAATAGTCTACGAATCTATATAGGGGGAATGGGAATGTTTTATCATACCAATCATTTAAGAAATCCTGCACACCACTTCTTAGCAAATAACTTGTGGAGTATCAATAAAGGGAGACTACTAGTTTTTTTTTTTTTGGTATTTAGTCGTACGCCTGAATCCCATAGGGGCCATAACTCTCCTTTTTTTTTAGAATTGCACAGCAACACAAATAAACCTATTCCAAATTCATGGTAGCGGGACTCGAATTCCACATTTCCACTGAAACAATGTGTAGCTAATGTACCAATTGAGCCACCCCTCAGTTTAGGGAGATTACCATTTGGTATAACATGTTCTGCTGGATGATGATTGGATTTATTTTGTCAACTTTATCAATGGCATAATTTTTAACCAATTAATCCTTTCTTCCGATGATAATTTTTGTTGAGCATCCTATCCCGTAACACATGGGATAAACCTATGGCGGTTTTAAATTTTAAATTATTGTTTATATTTATCCTATCTTTATTTTCTATTGTATCTTATCCAAGAGAAGAGTCTCTCTCCTTGTAAACTTCTAACTTCTGTAACAATTATAAATACATTGTAATGGATCACTCAAAGTGAGTAAAACCAATTCAATTCAACTTGTGTTCGTTCAATTTTTAACAGATCCTAATTAGTCCATCACATAGATGAATGGGAATTGGGCCCCATGAGTTGAAGACTTTGAATCCATCTTAGCATTACCAGATTGTTCTAGATTGAATTCGATATAAATAGATCCAAATTCGATTCAATAATATTCAAATTCAAATCAAATTTTATTCATTTATTGGCTTTATATTTGAGAAGGATCAGGTATTAGTTTGGATATTGAATACCATTAATGAATTAAACTAAAAGCAATCGAAATATTTATATTTTGATAGTGTAAACTAAACTGACTTTAAAATTGTGTTATTAGGAATATAAGATGAGTTCAAAATAACTTCCGTGAGACTTGAACTATGACACTTTACAACAATCAAACAAACTCTACTAATAGACAAATTAAA